GATACCTTTTGTTAGTTACCAAAATAAAATATTTGTAAACTGTATAAAACAGTTTGATTGAAGTAGGGTGTATGGGATTCAGACAATCTGGTTGCTGGTCAGAACTGGGAAGCTGATTCCCTCTTTAAGTATTCTAGAGTTGAGAATTTCAATAACTTATCAGTTCACAGCAGTGCAAGCAATGACCTGTTGAGGAATTTGCAGATTTCTTTGGCAAAAGGAGCATGAAGGATTTCATAAAAAACATATTTGTATTGGAAATATAGAAGTTAATAACTGAGAGTTCTAAGAGCAACATTGCAATTTGAAACAGTAATGTCCAACTTCTAGAGAAAATAGGCATTTTAATGGACACAAAATACAACTAGGGAGATCATTCCACAGGAAATACATTTTAAAAAAGAGAAAAATGTAAAACAGAAAAAAAAGTTGAATATGGATCATGGTAATGCAACCCTGGTGAGACATATGTCTTGAAGAGGCTGTACGCCCAATAGTTTCTGCTCCAACTAAATAGTTGGCTTAAGGTACAACTCGTGCAGTTTTCATGAAATAAAGCAGTGGTGGGCAACCTACAGTTCACAAGCTCACAAGGCCATCGAGAAGCCCACCCGAATAATCGCATGTCCAGTGGATATAAGCTAAGTAACTTGGGCTCCCAGTCACAATAAAATTACAATTGTTTTGTATGAAGATTCAGATGAACAGATCATACACAGAAAAAAATTGTTATTTGCAGCAGCTAACACATAAACCTACTGGGAAAGTGCACAGTTCAGTGAATTGGATCAATATATCACATGTACAGCTTGTAAGAATGAGAGGAGGTAGAACAGTGATTTAATGTTGTAGGCACTTTATTGATGAGTGATGTAAAAGAACACTATCAGGCTTTGGGAATTCAAATCATTTAAGTTCTTAAATTAATTGTTTTAAATTGTACTCTGTGTATGGTGTGTGTGTGTGCTTGGGAGTTGGGGTGGGTGGGGGGGTGGGTGTCAAGTTATTTCTAATACATATACAATGTCTTTTAATCTCATAAGATAAAATGTACTCTTAGATTTGTTTCTCTGTCTCATAAGTACATAGGGTGCATTTGTGAGACACTTTTAAGTAGAATTTGAATCATTTTGGAAAACATAAGCAGATTGCTAGAATCACATAAAATGTTACTATTGAGAAACATTACTGTGCGATAGCCTGAAAAAAATAGATACCTTATTCAGATTTTTTCTTGAAAACCATGGTTATCAAACTCTTTAAGCAAGAAATTTTAATTATTTTATCAAATATACAGATCAATTGAGTGAATGCTCGTTTATTTTTTGTTGTTGTTGAGAAATTATAACAATAGCAATGGAGAACATACAATGGAAACATACAAAAGCAGCTTCAACTCCAGCAGTAGAAAATGAAAGGTTAACAAAACATTCATATTTATACCACCTTATCATGTTGAAACATCTCAAAACATTTTGTGAGTAATCAGTATCACGTGTAGGGCCATAGGATCTTCAATGTTCAACTGGAAACAGGTAGATGGGATTTCAGTTTAAAGTCTCATCTGAAAGACAACATCTTCCCAAAGTGAAAGGTGCTATGCAAGTATAATTTGTTGTTGTTGTTAATGGTACTGAGGCTACAGAAGAATGCAAAGTAAAGCCAAAAGATTTCAGGCACGCCTCTTGATGTTCATTCCAATGATAGTTTTAGTTATAACCCTTCATACTTGCAGATATAGAAAAAGAGAAACTTACTATAATGCAAATATTGGTACAAGCACCTCCTCAGGGTATATTATGTCAGAGTGGATTAAACAAAACATAACCTTTCATCTCTCTTACCTAGCTTTGAATCCAGTACACAAGAATGAGATGATAGTCTCCTATCTGTGATGGTTGTCAGAGCCCCTGGTGAGATTGTCAATCTCAGTGTGGATTCCAGATCACTTTTTCTGTCCTCCCTCTAGCAGTTGACACAGTAAAGACTGATTGAAACTTACCCCATAGAAGAGTTCAGAGTCCAGCCTTGTAGATATCAAACGCCTTTAACATCACAATGTTTTATTCCAGGGCTTTGTATTACTTTATTATTTTGTTAGTTATCTGTCTGCTTAGAGCACAACCAAGTGATTTTGTTTACAGTTGTTTTTTTGTTTTTTGATGCGTTCTGAAGCAGGTATTTCCACTATGATATATATCCATTATTCAATAATGTTGTTGTAATTACCTATTTATAACCAAACATGTCTGGCTATTTAGAGGGCAATTTACTTTACTCTTTAACTAACTTAGATTTGTGGATGATTGACATCTCAGTTAAAAGGTTACTATTCCATATTTCAAATAAACTGAAATGCCTTTTTCAAGTAACAGATATTTGTTTAGTTGTTGATATTGTTAAAACATGTTTCACTTCAATTTACTAGCTTGTGTCTCTTCCTTTCCATTTCAATGTATTTCTTTCCAGATTCCCAAAGCTACTGACACCTTTATGCTCTTTGCTGCAGAGCTTCTTATAGTTTGATCCAAAAATTTACATCAAATCATAATTATATATTCCTGTATATTGTTTAACATTTCACCATTGCTGCCTATTGTTTTTTCTTTTTATTACTTTAATTTTAACTAGGTTTCTAATCTTTAGCTATCTCCATTCCTCTTCCCCCAATACATTGTGACAGCCTCAGATAAGATCACGCTCCCACTTACAAGAGTTATTCTCCTTAACAGTGACCATGCCTGACCTTGGATTTTAAGTTCTCTTCAATCCCCTTGGCAAATGCTCTCATAGTGTCTGAGGTCACGGGTGAGTGATTGCTTCAATAAGCTGTCACATTTCATTCTGGGATCAGTAGAACTAGTGTTACCTTATGCTTAAGTAGCCAAACCATTCTAACAAGTCAATTACACACACACTACATATTTTTTTCTTATAACATCTTTATTTGCTTACTTAATTCGGAAAAAGAAGTGTTTTTTTCTTTTTCATTTTGTGTGTTAGCAACAACATCACCAAGCTCATACATAACGGATAAGACCTGGATATATTGGTACAGCAATATTGGTAGATTATAGAATGAATATCTAGTCACTTATAATCTCCACATCGGTTAGTACCTCGAGGATCTCAGGTCTAATCACTCAGTGCCCTGGATTCCAGTATCTTAGCATTTTAGTCCTGACACTGATTTCCCTTGAATCTGCTGCGCGCAATTGGCTGCGGCGTTTCACCCACAAATATACAACAACAAGATTGCATTTATAGAGCGCCTTTCATGTCGGGAGGACGTCCCAAGGCGTTGAACAGTTGGGTCGGGACCCGAGCAAGGGGGAAATGGTCAGGGTGAGGGGAGGGAAGGGAGGGAGCGAGGAGGGGGTAGAGAGTCGAGAGGGGAGTTGAAGGCACGGTCAAAGAGAAAGGTCTTGAGACTGGCCTTGAAGGAGGAAAGGGAGGAGGCGGAGAAGGCACTGGGGGATAGAGTTCCAGAGCCGAGGGGCTGAGAGGCTGAAGGCCCGGCCACTGATGGTAGGGCGGTTGGGGCGGGGGATGTGGAGCAGACCGGAGCCGGAGGAACGGAGGGTACGGGCAGGTAAGTAGGGGGATAGTAGGTTGGAGAGGTAGGAGGGAATGGCCTTGTAGGTGAGGGTGATGATCTTGAATTCGATCCTCTGGGGGATGGGGAGCCAGTGGAGGCGAGCGAGAGTGGGAGTGATGTGGTCCCGAAGCCTGGTGCGGGACAGTACACGAGCTGCAGAGTTCTGAATGACCTGCAGCTTGTGGAGGGAGGTGGCGGGAAGGCCGGTGAGGAGAGAGTTCCCATAGTCCAGCCTTGAGGTGATAAAGGCGTGGACCAGTGATTCAGCAGCGTGAGGGGTGAGGTAGTGCCGTAGTCTGGCGATGTTCCGGAGGTGATGGAAGGCGGTGCCAGTTGTGGCGCGAATGTGAGGGAGAAAGGACAGCTCAGGGTCGAACAGAACCCCGAGGTTCCTGACTGGCTTTGAGAGGTGGAGAGTGCAGCCTTGGATGCTGATGCTGTCAGCGCCTGAGGTGCGGAGGCGCTGACGCGAGCCAATCAGGATATGCAATCAATTCACTTATATTCTGTACATTCAAGTATATTCTGTGAAGCGCTTTGAGACATCTCGGAGACGTGATAAGGCCCTATATCAAATGCAAGGATGATTTTTGTTATAGTGGTCTGTCCTTCCAAGTCCTGCCAATGAGCCAAGCTGGCTGTGCTGTCATCAGTATTGCTTTGGAGTAATTGTGGACGCTCCTGGCTCAGCAATCGAAGACTGTGGAGCCAGTCCCCACATTGGGACTTTGAACGTGTTGTCCAGGCTGACATTCCAATGAGATGCTTAGGGTCCCTCATTGGAGGGCATTGCCGTACCTCAGGTGAGACGTTAAACCAAAGTCTTACCTGTACCCCGCCTTGTCTAACCCCACCATTGGCGGCCTGGCCTTCAGCCACTCTACCCCCACCCTCCGGACCTCCAACCCCCAGTCCCTCCGCTCCGCTCCGCTCTCTCTTGCCTCCTTCAAGACCCTCCCACCACTTTGACCGCGCCTTCGGTCACCCTCCAACCCCCCCCCACCCTCCCTGCCCTCCACCACTCCCGATCCCAACCACCAGCTCCGGTGCGGGCGGATCCATGACTGCCCGGCGCCTTGGGACGCACTCCCCACGCGAAAGGCGCCACACAAATGTAAGTTGTTGTCGCTATTTATTATTGGTGACTCCCACGGTCGACCGCACAGGGCACCCCCCCCCCCCCGCCTCCCCGTGACGTGTCCGGGAGGCCAGTCTAGGCCCCTCCCCCCCCAACTCCGCTATGACATCACTGGGCGTTTCCTCTCCCTCCAACCGCCCGCTTCGATTGGTTCACCGCCACCGAGTGAGCGGAAGCGAATGGCGGATTTGCTGCCGGCTGATTGGCCTGTCCGTCCGTCAATCAGTCAGCGTGAGGCAGCTGGGGTGAAGGCGGGAAGTGGGTGGTGGGGAGGGAGGGAGGAGGCGGGGGTGGGGGGAAGGTCACCGACGCGACGATACATAGGAGACGGCGGCCGCGCAGAGAGAGAGAGAGAGAGACGGTGCAGACGCTGAGGGAGCAGAAAGGTCAGCTCGACGCGACTTCGCGGCAAATTCGATTTCTTTTGTTTATTTTTTTTTGGAGGGAAAAGGGTAGGGGGGGTGACGGGTTCTTCCTTTTCCTCCGCACGAGAGAGAGAGAGAGACCGTTTAAAAAAAAAAAAAAAAAAAAAATTCTCTTTATATTTTTGGAAAGAAGGATATGAGAGATGAATAAAATGGCCGCGCCGACAATTGGCGCGTGTGTGAAAGCCACCTGTTGTTTCCCTCGTGTTCTGTCGCCTTCCCGTGTGTTGCGGGGTCTTTCCCTTTTATATATATATATATATATATACGTATATATATATATCCCCTTTTATACATGAAACTCCTCGGTATAAAGCGAGAGGCGAGCGGTTTAAATTGGCCTCGTCGTCATTGTCCTGAACGTGCAGCAGCGTCGAGTGATGTCGCAGTTGAATTGATTTGGAGATCGTCTCCCTCCTGTTTCTAAGAGCTATCGGCTGTGAGCCAGAGAGCGGCGGACAGGAAACCACGGGAGGGTCTGTAGGAAAAGGCTGAGCAAAGCCCCTGCCCCCCCCCCCCACCACCCACCACCTCAGCCCGACCGAGCCTCGGGCCACGCGGCCGCACTTCTCGCGCCGCTCCCGCCCCGCGCCCAGAGCTCAACAGAGACAGAACACACAGCCGTTTAACTGGCGACCCCACACCCTGTACACACCCACCCCACTGTGTACACACCCTGTACACACCCACCCCACTGTGTACACACCCTGTACACACCCACCCCACTGTGTACACACCCTGTACACACCCACCCCACTGTGTACACACCCTGTACACACCCACCCCACTGTGTACACACCCTGTACACACCCACCCCACTGTGTACACACCCTGTACACACCCACCCCACTGTGTACACACCCTGTACACACCCACCCCCACTGTGTGCACACCCATCCCACTGTGTACACACCCCACACCCTGTACACACCCACCCCACTGTGTACACACCCTGTACACACCCACCCCACTGTGTGTACACACCCCACACCTTGTACACACCCACCCCACTGTGTGTACACACCCCACACCCTGTACACACCCACCCCACTGTGTGTACACACCCCACACCTTGTACACACCCACCCCACTATGTGTACACCCCACACCCTGTACACACCCCACTGTATACACACCACACCCTGTACACACCCACCCCACTGTGTATACACATCACACCCCGTACACCCCAGAGTCCTGTAGCTCAGTGGTTAGAGCACTCGCTTTGCAAGCGAGAGACCTGAGTTCAATTCCAGGCAGAGGGCGAAACCTTGGGCAAGTTTCCTTACTCCACACAGAGCCTAATAATAATCCCTCCAAAACAAAACAATAATAAATTGGTCATTTTCGATCTACAACTGTTTGTGGGACATTGCTGTGCGCAATTGGCTGCCGCGTTCGCCCACAAATATACAGTCAATTCACTTTACAGTGTGTTCTGTGAAGCGCTTTGGGACGTCCTCCCGACGTGAAAAGCGCTATATCAAATGCAAAGATTATTATTATTATTATTACACACCCACCCCACTGCATGCACACCACACCCTGTACACACCCACCCCACCGTGTATACACACCACACCCTGTACACGCCCACCCCACTGTGTATACACACCACACCCTGTACACACCCACCCCACTGTGTATACACACCACACCCTGTACACACCCACCCCACTGTATATACACACCACACCCTGTACACACCAACCCCACTGTGTATACACACCTCACTGTGTATACACACCACACCCTGTACACACCCAGCCCACTGTGTATACCCACCACACCCTGTACATGCCCATGCCACTGTGTATACACCCCGTACCCTGTACACACCCACCCCACTGTATATACGCACCACACCCTGTACACACCCACCCACTGTGTATACGCATGGCATCCTGTACACACCCACCGCACTGTATACGCACCGAACCCTGTACACACCCAACCCACTGTGTATACGCACCACACCCTGTACACACTCACCCCACTGTGTATACACACCACCCTGTACACACCCACCCCACTGTATACGCACCGCACCCTGTACACACCCACCCCACTGTGTATACGCACCGCACCCTGTACACACCCACCCCACTGTGTATACACACCACACCCTGTACACACTCACCCCACTGTGTATACGCACCGCACCCTGTACACACCCACCCACTGTGTATACGCACTGCACCGTGTACACACCCACCCCACTGTGTATACACACCACACCCGTGCAGCGTAGCTTTACTAGGTTAGTACCAGGGATGAAGGGGATGAGTTACGAGGATAGGCTGACCAATTTGAGCCTATATTCTCTAGAATATAGAAGAATTAGTGGGGATCTTATAGAAACCTATAAGATCATCAAAGGGCATGATAGAGTAGATAGTGGGAGATTGTTTCTCCTGATTGGAGAAACTAAAACCAGGGGTCACAATCTTAAAATCAGAGGCAGCCCTTTCGCACTGAGTTGAGGAAGAACTTCTTCACTCAAAGGGTAGTGAATGTAAGGAACTCACTACCCCAAAGGGCTGTTGACGCTCAGTCCTTGAACATATTCAAGACTAAGTTAGATAGATTTCTTATTGCAAAAGGGATTAAGGGATATGGGGATAAGGCAGGGTTATGGTATTAGCTGGAGTTAGATTAGAAGATCAGCCATGATTGAATGGCGGGGCAGGCTCGAAGGGCCGAATGGCCTACTCCTGCTCCTACATGTTATGTTACACCCTGTACACACACTCCACTGTATACACACCACACCCTATACCCATACACCACCGTATACACACCACACCCTGCACACACCCACCCCACTGTACACACATTGCACCCTGTACACACACCACTGTGTACACACACCACACCCTGTACACATTACACACAAACCCACTGTGCAAACACACACCAAAGTGTATACACCCCATATACTGTACATCTTGTACACACATATCATGTATATACATACCCAGTAAGCAGTGTACACTCCCCCACTGTATACCACCACAGTATGCACACACTGTGTACATATGTACAACCTGTACATAATGTATACACCACCACACTCTACACACAGTGTATTCACATCGTGTACACACCTCTACACTCTCACAGTGTACGCATCCTGAAAACACAGCCACTTTGTACACAAGTGTACACACACACCACAGTGTATACCCCCCACCTCACACACAGTATACGCACACACACCACAATGTACACACACAGTGTATATACTTTGTACATACTGTTTTTGTTCACGTGGAAGTTACCAGGCATGAGAACGTTACTCTTGAGAAATGGAGGAATGCTCTTTTCTCTCTGACTAAAGTATATTTTAAAGAAATCAGGCTGAGTAATTGCTTTTTCGGTACTTTTTTATTTTCCTTAAATATAAAAGACAAATAAAAATGGGTCAGGGCACGGGAAGGATGTTTTCAAACACTGCTGCTATTATGCTTGCCTACAAGAAATACACAATGACTTCTATATTTTACAGTATATCTTGCGAAGCGCTTTGAGACATGAAAGGTGCTTTATCAAATGCAAGGATTATTATTTTGTTTATGGATGTGAATGTGTAACTTGATTAGTTGTATGATTTTAAGAGTTAAAAGAGTAATGCTGATATAAAAGAGTAAAGTAATGTTCAGTCAACTGCAAACAGTTTACTACAATTCAGTTGATTGGTGCAGTATAGTACAGCAAAACACCAGATAACTTGTGACTTCAGGATAAAAGGGCTAAGTGACGAATTATCTGCAGTTAAGCATGTGCATAAATACGTAAATTAATGCAGCTGAGATATTGACAGCATGATGACTGAAATGGTAGTGACATGTTAAACCAAGCTGAACTTATCAAGAATTTACAGTAACTACTTTCTAATAGTCTGAAAATAGATGAGAAATATCTGTTATTTTCAATATACTTGATATCACGTCATGGCTATAATGAATAGTGGTGCAGAAATATATAGAAAACTATTCTGAAAACCCATTTTGTCTTGGGTTTTTAATATAGATTTGAGTACTCCCTGTGATCATGACAGCAGAAAACCTAGACGTGACAAATGGGTCCAATAAACTTGGATCAGCGAACCAGAATGAAGCAGCATTGCTTGCTCTGATGGACCAGACTGGCTACACCATGATACAAGAAAACGGACAAAGAAAGTTTGGTGGACCACCACCAGGTAAGAGCATCATATTAAAGAAATGCAAATGTTAGAAGGTAGACCATCCTCACAGCTCCTTTTTCTTCCTTTACTTCGTCACATACAAGGCATCCACAAGTTCTTGTAAAGATGCAATGTCCACAGCCTTCAGTACAGTCTAGGAAACTGGCATGCTAACTTGAAAGCCAGGAAAAATGTACATTTGTAAATATTTCAAAATAATCATTTTATACTCTATTTTATTTGATTCACGTATAATAACATTCCAAATCAAGATGAATAATTAAATATTTCTATTTTTTACAGGTTGTGAAAAATGGAAATACAATTGAATATCCAGCAATAGATTAATTCATTCAGTAATGTTTGGATCTTTATGTGGAGAAATGGTAGAAATTATAAGAATTCATTTGAAATTGTATTGTGTCATGAAGTGGGCTAGAGAATACTTTTACCCCCAAGACCTGGATTTGAATCAAGCCCATACTAGTTCTTTAATGAAATAACTAAGAAAATAGATAAATAAAGGTAAGGCTGTGGATGTGATATTCTTGTTTTTTCAGAAGGCTTTTGATAAAACGCTGCGTAGGAGGCTTGTTGAAAAAATGAAGGCAGATGGCATAAGTGGAAACAGCAGCGTGGGTAGAAAGTTGTTTAAAGGATTGGAAACAGATGACAGGAGTATATGGTTGTTCCTCAGAATGGAGAGATGTAATTTGTGGTGCTCCCTAGTGGTCTGGCATGTATTAGGATCAGACACTGTTATTTTCCATTTATAAATATTGTGGATTCTGCTGTAAGAGGCACAATTCCTAAGTTTGCAGATGACAAAAATAGGGAGTGTATCTAACAGTGAAGAATATTGTATGCAACATCAGGTGGACATAGAGAGGTTAGCTGATTGGACAGAGAAATAGCAAATGAAATTTAATGCAAATAACAACTTGCATCTATGTAGTGCCCTTCATGGAGTGCACAACAGCAGCGTGGCCTTGACCCAAAGCCGGTGTGGAGGGGGGGAGGTGGCCGATGACTGAAGGAATGGTCAGAGGAAAATTTTCAGGTGTGATCATGGGCAGAGAGCGATTGAGGCAAAGAGTTTCAGAGATTCTGGGTATAGTGTCTGAAAGCATGGCTCCAATTTGTGGGGACAAGATACGTGCAGCAGATCTGTGCCGATTGAAACAAAAGCAGTGGGGTGTGAGCAGATCAGAGAAGTAGGGAAGTGCCACTCCGTGAAGTGATTTGAATACAAGAGTGAGGATCTTGAAATTGAGCCATTTTGAAACAGCGAGGCAGTGGACCCTGGCAAGTACTGGTGTGTGCAGAGCCAAATATGGTTGAGGACACAGACAGCAGAGTTTTGAATCATTTGAACCTTGTTAATAGTAGGACTAGGGGGATTGGTGAGGAGTGCATTAGAAAAATAGAGGAAGGCAGGTAATGTGGAGGTCGAGGAAGGCAGTCCTGGTCAGGGCTCAGATGTGGGTTAGGAAGGATAAGTGCGGATTGAACCTTGCGTGTTTGTTTTGGATTTCTGTTGTACCAAATATTATATTTGGTAATATTTGAATGCGTTTGTTCCCTCGTGCATGCGTTTATCACCTCCCGCTTGGATTATTCAAACAGATTTCTCACTGGTCTCCCGAACTCACCATTCACAAGATCCAGCTCATTCAAAACTCTGCTGCCCGCATACTGACCTGGACCAAACTTCATATCTACATCTCACCAGTTCTGTCCAGGCTCCACTGGATCCCCATCACCGAACGGATAGACTTCAAGATCCTCACACTCGTGTTCAAATCTATTCATTTCCTGGCACTTTCCTACCTCTCCAACCTCCTCACTCCCCAATCCACAAATCGGTACTTCCGTTCAACTGGCACCGGCCTCCTACTCGTCCCTCACACCCTCTACTCCACCATCGCAGGTCACGCTTTCAGCCACTCCGCCTCGAAACTCTGGTACACTCCCTCAATCCCTCCGCCTTGCCCCTCTCTTCCCCTTTTTCAAGTCCCATTTGAAAACCTTCCTCTTTGGCCATACTTACGGCCACCTCTCCCCCCCCCCACCCCCAGCTCGGAGTCAGGCTCCGCCACTGTTAAGTGCTCTGAGGCGCTACCCTGCATGGAGGGCGCTACATAAGTGTAAGTTGTTGTTTATAATTTTTTTTAAAAAAGGGATTGAACCTTGCGTCAGGTTTGCTACAGGCTCAGTGAGTCGGAGGGATAGGTATGGAGGATTAAGAAGTTCTTAACTTCACAAATGAAAACTGAAAAGATAATCAGCTTTTTATATCAGAAATGGAAAGGTTTTAAAGTTTAAAAAGCATGCTACAATTCTATTCCAGTTATTCAGTGCTAGTAATGCTTAAAATAATAATAATAATCCTTGCATTTGATACAGCGCTTTATCAGTTCTTCTAGATGGCGTCTCGGAGCACTTTATCTGGAGGATTGTTGGCCAGGACACTCGGAGAACCCTTCAATTTTGAGTAGTGCCACGGGATCTTTAACATCCAACTGAACAGAACAAAGGGACTTTGTTTTAACATCTCATTGGAAAGACGGCACCTCAGACAAAGGAGCACTTCTCTTAGTAGCCTAGACGGTGGTTACTTAATCCATGGCTGTTTGTGGGACACTGCTGTATGCAATTGGCTGCTGCGTTTCGCCCACAAAATATACAATCAATTCACTTTACAGTATATTCTATGCAGTGCTTTGAGACGGCTGAAAGACGTGATAAAGACCTTTGAATTGCTCAGCCTGAACTATAACATTGCTGCTTCTCCTCATGATGATCCTCGTCAGTGGACTAACCATGCCTCGCTGCTCCCCCCCCCCCACTGTTCAATTCCTATCCTTGCTTGACCATTCCACAGCCTCCCTCTACTCCAGCCTGCGAATCCTCCATCAGGGCCACCGTGGCAGATGCCGCAGCTGTCCAACAGCAGCCACTCTGACTGCTCTATCCCCCATTCTCGTCGCAAGGCTGATCGGTTCCTGACCACGGGTAGCTAACCTCTCCCTGATCCACATCCCCACCCTCCCTGTCAGTCCTCACCCTCGCTCCTCACATTCCACCGCCAACTGTCCCCTCACCATTGGTTTACAAAATGTCTGCTCTCTCCAACAAAACACTGACCATCCAAGACCTCATTGCCGACGAAAACATTCTCACCCTCACTGAAACCTGGATTACTCCAGGCGACATCTTTCCCCTGATAGAGGCCACCTGGTTTACTGTAGTGGCGGTATGGCTCTCATCTCACGGTCCCCACTCAGTCTATCCCTTTACTCCTCTGGAACCGTCCCCTCTGAGCACCTTATCCTTTACCACCCCTCCAAACTTTCTCTCAAAATTCTCCTTATCTATTGCCCCCCCCCCAGCCTTCCCCCACCTTCATCCCCAACATCTCCACCCTCCTATCTTCCCTAACCCTCTGCTCCAAACGCCTCCTCCTAGGCGATTTCAACCTTCACTTTACCCCCTCCTGCTCTACCTCTGCTGACTTTTTCTCCCTTATCACCTCCCTCAACCTCTTCTTCCACATCCACTCCACCACCCACGTTCGCGGTCAACCCCTTGACCTGGTGATGTCTCGGGGCCTCACTGTCTTGGACCTCATCATCATTGACAAAGCGATCTCGGACTATCACTTCATCTCCCTAAACTCCTCAATCCCTCTCCCCACTGCCATCCAACACCTCCACCTCCTCCGGCCCCTGGAAAAAAATCTCCCCCCCTCCCTCTCGGCTGCCTTGGAGTCATCTGAGCTCGTTCCCCTCTGAGCTTCCTCCCTCAATGACCTCCTCTTCTGTCACTCTTTCCATGCCTCCCTCTCCTCCACTCTTGATTCCCTTGCTCCCCTCCCTTCCCGAACCGTCTCCTATTCACGTATGTCACCATGGTACACCAGCCATCTCCGCTCCGTTAAAGCACAGGTGCGTGACATTGAATGCACCTGGCTTAAATGAAACTTAATGGTCCATCGGCAAATCTGGCTGGACCTTATCAAATCTTACCGCTCCGCCCTCGCCTCCGCTAAATCGTCGTTCTACTCCAAGACTATCTTAGAGGCTAAGGACAACCCCAGGCTCCTCTTCTCCATCACAAACCGGCTCCTCCACCCACCGTCTCACTCCTCACCCATCCTCACCTCAAATGCCAACTGCGAGGGGATCCTGGACTTTCTCGAATCCAAAGGCGAGGGGATCCGCTCAGCTGCCTCTGCCATTCCGTTTACTACATGCTCCCCATCTCCCCCTCCCAACCGGCCCGTATACATCCCTCATGATCCTCTCTGTCCATTGATTCTGTCCATTGACACTCCAACCTCTCTTTCCTCTCCAAGGTCCTGGAATGAGTTGCTGTTTCCCAGCTTGGCTCCTTCCTCTCCCGCCACTCCCTTCACGAACCCCTCCAATCGGGTTTCCATGCTGCCCACAGCACAGGAACAGCGCTGGGCAAAAAAGACAAATGACATTCTGTCCATCTGCAACCAGGGCTCCCTCTGCCTCCTCGTCCTCTTTGACCTCTGCTGCCTTCGACACCGTCGACCACTCTATCCTCATCCACTGCTTCTCTCACCTCAACCTTCAGAGCTCTGTCTTTGACTGGTTCAGATCATACCTCTCACACCGCCTCCACTTATTTCGACAAACTGTTTCTCCTCTAGCCCCTGCACCGTCTCGTGTGGTGTTCCTCAGGGCTCTGTCCTTGGTCCCCTCTTCAATATCTATATGCTCCCTCTTGGTGACATCATCCACAGACATGGGGTCAATTTCCACATGTATGCGGATGACACACAACTGTACCTCTGCCTCCACACTTGACTCCAGGACCACTGCTGTCCTGACAGAATGTCTGTCAGACATCAAGTCCTGGATGAGAGCTAACTTTCTTCAGTTGAACGTCAACAAGACCGAGGCTCTCCTGATTGGCTCCCGTCAGCGCCTCCACACCTCAGGCACTGACAGCATCACCGTCCATGGTTACACACTACACCTTACTAAGCCAGTCCGGAACCTTGGGGTCTTGTTTGACCCTCAACTATCCTTTCTACCCCACATCTGTGCCATGACTCGCTCTGCCTTCCCCCACCTCCACAATATTGCCCGGCTCTGCCACTGTCTCACACCGCAGGCTGCTGAAACCCTCATACATGCTTTCATTACATCGAGGCCTGACTGCAAACCACTTGCTTGTCGGCCTCCCAAACTCTTCCCTCCATCGGCTGCAGATCATCCAGAACACTGCAACCTTGTCCTCTCCTGCACCAGGCTCTTTGACCCTATCACCCCCATCCTCGCCCAACTCCACACTGGTTTCCCATCACACATAGGATACAGTTCAAGATTCTGGTCCTCACCTTCAAAGCCCTCCATGGTCTTGCTCCCCTCTACCTCTGTGACTTCCTAACTATCAACCATCCTGCTCGCTCCCCCTGCTCGACGGGCTCCGGCCTGCTTCACGTGCACCGCCTTGCTCGCCCCACTAGCAGGGGAGCCTTCTATCACTCTGCCCCCACCCTCTGTAACTCCATCCCACAGTCCCCCTTCCCTTGCTTCTTTCAAGACCCATCTCGAGACCCTACTCTTCGACTGTGCTTTCGATCATCCTGCTCCCCCTCTGCTCTCCACTCTCCCAGATCCTGACCCCCAGCTCCGGTCCAAAACTCTTGTCTGTCCCGCCCAGCTTGATTGCTGAAAAGTATTAGGAAAAAAAAGGGGAACTTCACCATAGAGTATTACGAAAATCAGGGAAAAGTGATCCCTTGATTCCTATTGCACATTCCTTAATACCTAGTTAAGAGTGATAGTACGAAGTCTTAGAATTGTCATCTGCCCATCTTGCTCTCTAAATTAAATTTGATGCATGAGCGAGGGACACTGGAGAAAAGGCAACCAGTTGAAAAATAGGTTTCATGGAATCCCAAAAGGAAGCAAATCTCTTCATTTAGCTAACATGTCTAATTCATTGTAAAAGTGAGTACTGATGCATTTGTTTGTAATGTTGGAACACAAAATATGGTACTTATTACTTTATCTTATTACAGGTTGGGAAAGTCCACCTCCACCTCGTGGATGTGAAGTATTTGTAGGAAAGATTCCACGTGACATGTATGAAGATGAATTAGTACCTGTTTTCCAGAGAGCAGGAAAAATTTATGAATTCAGGCTGATGATGGAATTCAGTGGTGAGAATCGAGGCTATGCTTTTGTAATGTATACTACAAGAGAAGAAGCTCAGAATGCTATCAAAATGCTGAACAATTATGAAATTCGACCTGGAAAATTTATTGGTGTCTGTGTTAGCTTGGATAACTGCCGACTCTTCATTGGTGCAATTCCAAAAGAAAAGAAAAAAGAAGAAATCCTTGAAGAAATGAGGAATGTAACGGAAGGGGTTGTAGATGTCATTGTTTACCCAAGTGCTACTGACAAAACAAAGAATCGTGGATTTGCCTTTGTAGAATATGAATCTCACAGAGCTGCTGCCATGGCTAGAAGAAAGCTTATCCCAGGTACTTACTATTTATTGTATTTTAAAAATAACCTGATAGATGAGCAAAACTTAAAAAATCACCAAACGTAAAAATCATTTTGGAAAAAAAAGCTTTTTTTTTCTTTCAACAAAATAATTGTTTTATAAGACAACCTGACAAGTTCAATTTGTTGGTTTCCTGACAATACTGTTTATCTAGTTCCTATTTTCAGACAAATTGAGATTCTGTGGAAAATTTACTGAATTTGGTCCCAATGTTTTATGCTTTTTTATGAGTATTATCTTAAAAGTATTGTCATACAATACTGGGCTGCTTCTATAGGAAACCTGCTTGTCAGCCATCTTCACCACAACCATTTGCTATAAAATATACAGTAACTACACTTCACAGTAAAAATCCTATGAAGAGCTTTGAGATGTTCTGACGACATGATAGGACGTTATATCAAATGCAAAGATTATTTTTTTTAACCGTATGGAATTTGCTAACTGATGATTTTAGAGTTGATATTGAGATCTATGGATCTTTGTCAGTAACTGTATAGCTTTTTACCCTGGATCTACCCTACTCTGTACTGTTAGTTAATCTCAGATTAAGGCAATTAAACCAATACTATTTGAGGTATTCTTAGTTATGGAGGGTAGAATCAACCAGACTCTAGTGCTCTCTCTCTCGATGGCTGGATGTGGAGTCCTGTAGCTCAGTGGTTAGAGCACTGCCTCTCAAACGAGAGACCTGGGTTCGATTCCCGGCAGGCGAAACCTTGGGCAAGTTTCCTTACTCCACACACCTAATAATAATCCCTCAAGAAAAAAACTCAATAATGAATTTGTCACTTCAATCCACGACTGTTTGTGGGACAATGCTCTGCGCAATTGGCTGCCACATTTCGCTTACAAATGTACAGTCAATTCACTTTACAGTGTATTCTGTGAAGCGTTTTGAGACGTCTAGAAGACTTGAAAAGTGCTATATCAAAGGCAAGGATTATTATTATTATAACCTGCTATCATTCACTGTCGAGGCTCATAAATAAAGAACTGGCACTTGGCAGAGAGTGGCTGGCACCTATGAAACCGGTTCATGCCTCAGGAAGGGAGGAAGAGAGAATTAAAAAAAAATGTCTATATTGTTAAAATATAGGCTCATTTTACCACTCAGTGTGATGGTACTTATTTTTGGATTATTTGTGGTAACAGAAAAATCAAAAGTAGTAACACTTAGCAATTTTTTTTGGTAAAACTGCACTACATATTTGCTGGAATCCTATCCTACAATTATGTGTGTAGGTGTGTTAAAAATTTTAATTAATTTTTATTGTAAGAATAATAGCAGTTTCTCATTCACTCAGCTGAATCCAAACCTGTCTTCAATCTATAATAACAATAATCCTTGCATTTGATATAGGTCTTATTACGTCATTGAAACATCTCAAACCTCTCACATGATATACTATAAAGTGTTGGCAAAATGTGGCAACCAATTGCGCACAGCAATGTCCCACAAACAGCCATGGTATGAGTGACCAATTTTATTTGAAGGATTTGTTAGCCAAGACACCAGGATACACTCCCTTCTCTTTTCGAATAGTGCCCTGGGATCTTTAACATCCAACTGAACAGGCAGATAGGACCTCGATTTAAGGTCTCATCCGAAGGACGTTACCTCCGACAATGCAACACCCCCCCAGCACTGCACTGAAGTGTCAGGTTAGACTATATGAATCCAAGTCGCCCAACATGAGTCTTGTACCCACAACCTACTGACTCAGGTGGGAATGTTACCACTGTACCAGGTGGCTTCATTCAGTTCCCAATAGGGGTCAATTGTGAACTCAAGAACTGAAATCCTGACTCATACTTTCCTCACTAACCTAAAGAGTACTGAGACTAATTTTAGAACCTCGATTGCTGTACCATTTTATCTCATCCTTCCAGAATATCACTCTGCTGTCTTATCACAGCATCAAGCTGTGTTTTTTTAAATGAGCCCAGGATTCTAGCCTCAATCACCCTCCCAGGTAAACTATTTCCGTGATTAAATACCTTCTGGATAAAGAAATGCGTCCTAGTGTCTGTCCATTCGATAGGGGCGGAATCTTGCTGCTCACCATGTTCAGCATTGAGATGAGTGAGGCAATGGAAAGCAGAAAACACAGAATATGGTGATCTTAAAGATGCGAGTGTAGGTCATGTTGAGTAATAGTCAGATAAATTTGCTTTTCTTCAACATAAGTTTGCTCATTTAACTTACTAAAGATCAATATTTACACTTGCAGTATGAGATGCTGCATTGCATGAAGAAAGTAGTGGAAAGGTGGAACTGTTTGATTTTCTTTACCAAATGTAGCTGTCTTCCTGATAAAGAGGTATATTAAAAAAGAAGTAAAGATGCATATTGTACTGACTGGGAAGTATTTTTGACAGCTATGAATCCACAAGATAAGGCTAGATGTAATGTGGGATGTAAAAAGTTTGTTCATGTCCGTAATAGTATGGCTTGTGTTGATGAGAGCTGGATCCAGAATGAAGAAGTAATAAAAAAAAGCTGTTTGCACTAAGTTATGCTCTATAAATGTAATTTTGTTGTTGTTGTTTGTTGTTATACAAATAAGTTTTTAATGAGCAGGGCATGTGTGGCTTGTGGCTGAAGATCAGTACTCACAAGGCAATTGTATAATAATATTCATAATCCTTAAACTGGGTATAGCACTTCATCGTGTCATCGAGACTTCTCAAAGCACTTTAAAGGGTATATTGTAAAGTGGATTGACTGTATTTTGTGGACGTATATTCTGTGTATGTATTTTAGTGGGGTAAACACTATGTGGAGAATCAAAGCTGAGATTGTTGGACTCTTTATAAGATCTGAATAGAAGAGTGATGGTCGACAGGTGTGGCAATGTAGCATCTTGGCCAGTCTGGTTATCTTGGCCAAATTGATTATTTATAGTTATGGTATAAATCTCTTATATAAGGGGCATCATATGTAAGGTAAGACAGGATTAGTTGGTAGCATGTTCACCTTTGAGTCAGAAGGTTACGGATTCAAGCCCGATGTCAGGATTTGGAACCCATATAATCTACGTTGATGGTGCAATGCCTGGGGTGTGCTGTATTTTCAGAGAAGCCTGCTTCGGATGAAAGGTTAAACTGAGGTCTTGTCTGGCTGTCTAGGTGGTCGTTAAAGATTCCAGGCATTTGTGAAAAGAGAAGTTTCTCCCAGTGTCCTTGCCAACATTCCTCCAAATAAAATTGGTTGCTTTTGGGACATTGCTGTTTGCAAAATTGGCTGCTGCGTTCACCCACAAAATTCACACAATAATAGAGTTTATTGTGATGCGCTTTGAGACGTCTCAATGATTACTCTCAATGATTATTCTCATACTTAGAACACTCTTGTCCACACGATCGCCTTATGTGTGAAATGAATTTATTATGTGAATATTTTCTCTTTCATGCATGTTACAACTCAATAATGTTTCTAAATTATTTGGTCATGAAATGATAGATATTACAGAATAGAAGACGGTCATCAGCTCATGGTGTGCTAGCTTCTCTCCTTGTGCTAACTATTTTAAAACCAATTTCCTGTCTTCACTGATGGAATAAAAGTCCCTTCTGTTGACTATAAGGGACAAGTGGATATTGCCCTTGTGTGTGAGTTCCAAGCCACCAAAACTGTCTTTTACTTTGTAGAAAATGCCAGGCTGCATATGTGAATTCTGCACACATTGGCAATGCTCAAGGGAAGATTTATCCTTAATACAAATATGTGATGGCAGTACTCCCAAGGGTTAAGTGTAATAATGTAATCTCTGGGTTAAAATAATGATTATAAACAGAATATGTTATCTAAATGCTTTAGTTAGATTACTACTTTGCAGTAATTTCCTAAATATTCATTATTTGAATAACAATAGCAAATTTACAATTATATAGCGCCTTTCACGTCAGGAGGATGTCCCACTAATATCAACCTCTATAAGTACTAATCAACAGTGTCTTGGAACAACGTAATTAATAATAATAATCCTTGCATTTGATATAGTGCTTTTCATGTCTTCTAGACGTCTCAAAGCGCTTCACAGAATAGACTGCAAGTATATTTGTGGGCGAAATGCGGCAGCCAATTGCGCACAGCAGTGTCCCACAAACAGTCGTGGATTGAAATGACCAATTTATTATTGCTTTTTTTTGAGGGATTATCAACCCTCAAAAATTCTAAACTAAAAAGTATTTTTTAGAAGTTAATAACTTTTTTCAAAATAAAAAATACGATACGTTGTGGACTCTTTTCAGGAACGTTTCAGTTGTGGGGCCATACTATTCAGGTGGATTGGGCAGATCCAGAGAAAGAAGTCGATGAAGAAACTATGCAAAAGGTTAAGGTATTGTACGTGCGAAACCTGATGATACTGACAACAGAGGAGACTATCAAGATGGAGTTTAACAAAATCAAACCTGGAGCAGTTGAACGTGTAAAAAAACTCAGAGACTATGCATTTGTACACTTCTTTGACAGGGATGATGCAGTTACTGCTATGAATATGATGAATGATAAGTGTATAGATGGTGCTAGCATTGAGGTCACCCTTGCAAAGCCAGTTAATAAAGATGGCTCTTGGAAATACACTCAAGGTAGTCAATTTAATCTTAATTGTGAAAGTCAACGACTGACGTTTACAAACAAAGAGGATGGAGGACAAAAAACCCCAGGAAGATCGCCAAGTTTACCAGCACGTCTGAATGGTCATCACAGCCCATGCTCACCTGAACTGGAGAGGTGCACTTATCCTCTTTTCCCAGGAATAAAGCTTACACCTTTAAGTATATATGCATTAAAGCCTTGTCATTTTCAGTCCTCTGTCACACATTTGGATTATTACTGCAACAAAAATAATTGGGCACCGCCTGAATACTACCTCTACTCCACTACTAGTCAAGATGGGAAGCAGCTGCTTGTTTACAAAGTGGTTATTCCATCCCTTGCAAACAGTTCGCAAGGTACACTAAGCCGTTTCATGCCTGACAAGCTCTGCACGATGCTGGAGGATGCTAAGGAATTGGCAGCACAGTATGCATTAACACATTTAGGTAGGTTGTTATTTGCTATTCATAATGAATTTGAATGTACTAAAATATGATCCATTCAAACATAACTGAATATAGTGTTTTGTTTAGATATTTGACCACAATACTGTACTCCCCATCTGTGAGCAGGGCTCCTTTAGGCTCCCTATCCTCTTCAGCCTCTAACACAGTTGATACGGTCAGCTCTGCCAACCAATATATCCTTCTCCACGGTGTGTCCTACCTGCTCAGCCCTGGCTGCGTTCTCTCTTGGTTTCACACTTACCTATCCCAACGTCTTCATTTCATTTTCTCCGATGGCTTCTCCTTCCCTTCCCCTTAGTGATATCATCCACACCCACCTTTCTTTTTGCTTCTCCCCTCCATTTCAGGACCACTGCTTTAATGACCAAATGTTTTTGCCCCGGCCAATTGCTTCTCAGCTCAACCACTGACAGGGGATGCTCCCTTTACCTCATGGAGCTGAGATGGAACCTTGGTGTTTCTGTCCCTCCTCAAATATCCTTTAAACTTTACAGCTGAGCTCTCGTTAGCTCTGCTTTCCTCTGCTTCTGCAATATTAGCAGCTCCCTCCGCCACTGTATCTCTCTCCCCCACCCCCCCAAAGTTGCCAAGAACCTCATCCATGGCTTCATCACTTCCAGTCTCGAAAACTCTGCTTGCTGAATTCCCCAGTTCCTCCCTACACAAACTACAAAAATCTGCCGGCTGTTCTCCTGCACCACAGGTCATGGGCCCATCACCCATGCCCTTGTTTTATGCTATTGGCTCCTCAACCCCCAGCAGATAGAACTCAAGATGATTATTCCTCACTTACAAATGCCTCAATGGCCTTACTCCACCCTGCCTTTGCGAATTCAGTGCTCTTGCTGCTCCATCCACACAGCAAATGCGTCCTCTGCCTGATCCACCCGACCATCGTAGAATTATTATAATTATTAATTCAGCCATTCTGCCCCTGTTTTCTAGAACTCCTTTGCCGAGTCCCTCTCTCCCTGCTTTCAAAACTTGCCTTAAGACTGTGCTTCTGGACACCTTTCCCTTCAGTTCTCCCCCCACCCCTAACCCCTGCTTGGACTCCCAGCCAGTTGCACAAAGTGCTTCAAGACTTCCTATCTTCAACAAATAATCGTTAACTATTATATAATAATCTTGCGGTTTTATTGCAGATATTAACACCTCTGAATATATGAATGTTTTGCTGAGATTAAAAGGAAGTTTAGTTCATTCACGTGTTTTACATATAGGTAAAATATAGATATATGGTCAGACACAAGTTACAGATCTATAAGCCCTACATTTTGATTACATGCTGTTTATAGCAAAGTATATTGGTCTCATTGGGTTTGTTGAAGTGATTATTCATATGTTGAGAGAAATGCTAATTTGAGTCGAAACAATGTGCTTTCTTTGGCGTATGATTGAGCGAGGGAAAGAGGTTTCCCTATCTTGACTAATATCCCCAATAGTTAGGATCGTTATCTTCCACTGGCTTAGTCAGGTTACAGTAGTTCATTTATTTCTACTCCTGCAGTGGTTTGAGTAGTTTGGAGAGGTAATGGCGACTAGGTCTTCAGGAAAGGGATCCAGAGTCTCTGCTGTTTCCCCTATTCCAAATGGAGGACACACAATTCATACTGATTGGGACTAGCAATGAAAGTTACGTTAACTTGCATGCTGCAGATAGTCGGTGATCCTTCCTTGTCTTATGGGCAGTCCCTATTGGCAGAGCCTGGTCCTGAGGGTCCATTTTCTGTGTGAGTGTAAAACCATATTGCTGGTTGTCTCCTGGAATGGTTGATCATAAATTTAAGAGAGTAAAATCTTCAACTGACCTGGTATATTTTGTTGCATGTGGTGATGGTGTGTGTTTTTTCACACTTATGATTTGCCCTATTATCTAGTGACCCAGGTCTTTTACTTCAAACTTTCTGTTATTTTCTGGAAGTGAAAATCTTTATTCTTTGTCTTCATACATTGCTTCAGGTGGGATTTCCTTTTATAAAGGTGTGTATAACAAAGTTTGCTATTTTTAGTGAACATCGTTTGATTCAACTGAAAGTTGTAGCATGTTAATTTGTGAATGTTAGAGTACTTTGCATATTTTTATGTGTTAAAATACCACAGTTAATAAGTACTTATGAAATATGTGAGGTCGATCTGGCTGCAACATCTGTCACCCCATTGATCGCTAGGGTTGATTCGGCTGATCTGGCTGGCTAGGCGGGTGTCCCCCTTCCCTCACAGCTCCATGTGCGTCCCTCCCGAAGCTCAGCGCTCGGTCGCAGAGGACGACCCCCTAGAAGAAGGGCCGCTCCCGCCGGTCTAGGGTATATGACGTAGCTACTCCCCTGCTATAGACCAAACCTCCAAGACCATTTGTAGGATCACGTAGGGAAGTCAAACTCCTCCAAGGCTTCAAGATTACAAGAGTCAGGAGGTTATGATTAACCTATATAAAACACTGGTTAGGCCTCAGTTAGAATACTGCGCCCAGTTCTGGGCACCACATTATAGGAAGGATAGTAAGGCATTGGAAAGGGTGCAGAGGAGATTTACGAGGATGGTACCAGGAATGAGGGACCATGATTATCAGGAAAGACTAGAGAGGCTTGGATTATTCTCATTGGAGCAGAGAAGGTTACGAGGAGATCTAATAGAGGTCTTCAAAATCATAAGGGGATTTGATAGGTTAGAAAGGGAAAAACTTTTTTCACTGGTGGGTGTGTCGGTGACTCGAGGTCACAGATTCAAAATAGTCTCTAAATGAAGCAGGGGAGGTGAGAAGAATTTTTTTCACGCAGCGAGTTGTTCGAATCTGAAATGCATTGCCTGAAAGGGTGGTCGAGGCCGATTTAATAACTACTTTTAAAAACGCGGTGGACGGGTATTTGAGGAGGACGGGTTTGCAGGGTTACGGGGAAAGGGCTGGGAAGTGGGATTGACATTAATTGCTCTATTCAAAGAGCTGGCACAGACTCGATGGGCCAAATGGCCTCTTTTTGTGCTGTACAATTCTATAATTCTATAATTCTATTTATTCATGTATTTTCAGACTACAGTTTGCGTCGGACCAATTCTGTGAATAGCCTTTCTCAAGTTGGTACAGCTCTTCCTGTTTCCGCATCCAGCCTGCTTCAGTATACATCCAGGCCTTACTCGTATCCTAGTTATCCATTGTCACCCACACTACCTCTTGGTAACAGCAATCATATTGGACAGCGGTTGTATGTCTCCAGCCACGGATCTTTCTTCTAAAAAAGTATTGTAGGTTGAATAACAAAATATTGTAAATGTTTTTTTTTCTTGGAGCACAGATTGACAGGTTGACTTTCTCAAAAAAATTTTGTTCGATTGTTACACTGTATGGAATTTATTGAAGCACAAATGTGTAACCTCTTTCTGTGTATTAAAGTTTTATCAAATTGTTTTTACATTCTTGTTAAAAATTTGAGAATGCTGTTCTGAATTTGTCGTTTTTTCATCGCAGTGACAAATTAATTGCCTTTGTTGTCCTTTAGCTATCTTAGTGCTTAACACCTATGGCATGATTAATGTAATAAGGTGAAGATTTCTACTAGGACTTAACTATAGCTGGAGTTCACTGTCACTGTTTCACGCTGTTAAGCTTCACTTTTCTCTTGTTTTTGCCATATTTGGATGTTCTGCTTGTTGAGAAGCAAGTATTTATATTGCATTTGTTAAATTGTTGCAATCATGTGTTCAATTAAATACTACTAAAACATTTTCTAGTTTGCTTTTTTTAAAAAAACTAAAGTACTTAAAACAGATTAGTTTCTTCAGGATGGAAGGTTGTAACACCAGATGGAGCACTGACAAAGTGTATGTTAAAAAACTATTGATGCTAGAACTAAAGTCACAAAGTTCAATCATCGCACATATTTATTTTAAACTAAGAAAAGTTATTAGTTTTAGTTTGTTTGATATCATTTTTTGTGTGTGAATAGTCAAACCATCAAGTATTGTTTGTACTTGAAGTTATCTGCGACCTCCTAACCCCCTACTATCCTGCTCGCTCTCTCTGCTCTGTGGGCTCTGGCCTGCTTCACGTCCCTTGCCTCGCTCGCCCCACTATTGGTGGGCAGGCCTTCTGCGACTCTGCCCCCACCCTCTGGAACGGCATCCCGCAGTCCCTCTGCCTTGCCCCCTCCCTTGCCTCCTTCAAGACCCATCTCAAGACTCTTCAACCTTGCTTTCGATTTCCCTGCATCCCCCTCTGCCCTACATCCTCCCTGACCCCAACCCCCAGCTCGGGTCCGAAACTCTTGTCTGTCCAGCACCTTGGGATGTTCTCCCAACGTGAAAGGTGCTATACAAATGTAATTTTGCTGTTGTTGTTGCCATCCATGTATTACAGTAATTCCCAACTGTATGTATTACAATGTATTATTGTATGTATTTCAGTAATCCCCAGCTGATATTGTACTCAGTGTTTCTAGTTTGATTAGGTATTGGCCTTGGTCAGTGAAAACAATGCATACCAATTATATTGGATATAGCTATCCAGGGATGCTCTGCATCCTTGTTGTCAGTCATGTCACAGAGTAATGTTGTTGAGGAAGAGCTGACTCTCAACAATCTTCAGGAAATTAAGATTTTCATTACAGGAAAGTATTTAATTTTACACTACAGCTTTGAATAGAGTGCACCCCAAAGCTTTATTTTTCCAATTAAGTTGAAAATATCTCACCCAATCTCATAAACCATAGTCGTAAACAATATCTTCATAAACTTAGAACATTGCAGTGTCAAATTGGGAAGTGATGTGCTACCAATCTTATTAATCATGCAAATACAGTACTTCTATATCGAGCAAGCAGCTCAATTTTTCCCATCCCTTCCTCTGGCAGGACAGCAGTTGTGAAGCATGACATCCTGAATTAGCCTAATTTGATACGTTTATCAATAATTTGACCTCCTATTCCGTTTTTCAGATGTAGAACTTAATAATAATAATAATAATCCTTGCATTTGATATAGCGCTTTTCACGTCGGGAGGACGTCCCATAGCGCTTCACAGAACACACTGTAAAGTGAATTGACTGTATATTTGTTTAAACTTAAACTTTAAACTCAAACTGATGTCAGAATTCTAATGCTGCATTTGCTTGTGATCTTAACTTTAATTATATTTTATATCAGAATGCATTGGAATGATGAGTTTCAACTTTGGCACTGAACTCGCCTGTATCTCATTTGGTACATGTCTGAAACAGTTCTCAGCTTACTGTGAGTTCAAGCTCCATGTTAGAACTTTGAGCTCAGAGTCTTGAGTAATTCTCCAATGCACTGCTAGAAAGGTACATAGTTCAAGGTGTCTTTTTGATGAGACGTTAAAGCAAGGTCCCATCTGCCTGTTTAGGTAAATGTTAAAGATCCTGTGACACTACAGGAAAAACAAAGGGAATTCACATTAGCCGAGGCAGTATAATGAAAGCCAAAGCAACTGAAGGCAATTAGTGAGAATGCAGTGAAGTAGGATTTGTGTGTTTATTAATGAAATACTTATTGGGAAGGACAGAAAGGACTCATGGGCTTCATTTGATCCAGCCAACGAACATTCTCATACATACCATTCATATCTGTGGTTACTGAAAGGTATGGCAAACAGACTCATAAAGTTGATCGTAGTGCAGTAAAGATGTGTTTACATACAGGAGAAACTCCCCAGAGCAATGGATCTGACAGAATATCTGAAAAGAGGACCAACCAATAACCAGAATGGTTGTGGGTATGACCCCACATCCCAAATCCATCTCATTAGTTTAGCTCTGAACTCAACAGGATGGCAAGTTATCTTTTTGGGGGGGAGTTTTACCAGTATTTTGCTAACCAGTATTCCAATGTTGCAAACTATGGGCCAGAGATTTAACTTCCTGTTCAGTACACCCAATTGTTGTGGCGAAGTACTTTGAAATGTTCATTCTACATGAAAGCACTTATGCAAGCAGTTATTTTTAGTTTAGATGGGAACAGAAGTTCTAATGGATAGTGATGGTTTTCTAACTCAACAAAAAACAAATTCAAATTAAAGGATCCTGAATATATTTTAAGAAAATAAAATTAAGTAACATGTTGTCAGATGTATTTCTGCAAGACTTAATTGTACTTGATCGAGGAATTACCTCATATGATTTGTGGGAAACACTTCTTGACCGTTCATGTTAACCATCATTCACTTGATTTCACAATTTCCTATTTTAAATGTCAATAGTTTAATTTGAATACATTAGCTTATGAACTATCTACACTTAGCAGAAGTAACAGTAAAAATAACAGTAAAACATTCAGTGGGCACATCATTTAGTGTGATATTTATGGCATAGTTTCTGTCCAACCAGCTTTGTAATAATACTAATTCTTGCATTTGATATAGCGCTTTTCACGTCTTCTAGACGTCTCAAAGCACTTCACAGAATGTACTGTAAAGTGAATTGACTATATTTGTGGGTGACACGTGTCCCACAAACAGTCGTGGATTGAAGTGACCAATTTATTATTGTTTTTTTTCTTGAGGGATTATTAACAGGCGTGTGGAGTAAGGAAACTTGTCCAAGGTTTCACCCTGCCGGGAATCAAACCCACGCTTGAGATGCGAGTGTTCTAACCACTGAGCTACAGGACTCCACATATTCAGTCTTGGTAAATTTTCTTTAAATGAGAATCAACCATTGTAAAAGAACTTGGAATGGTAAGCCACTCTGCCAGGAAAAGAAATGTTCTGGATATTCCACAAATCTTATATTGTACATAGATAATTCAGTGTTCTATGCACTTCAGACAAGTGCTCAATAATGTTTTTTAGTTTGAATTTATCTGTTGGTCAAACTAATTACAAATGGACAGTGTTACCTAATTATTCTCAGTTAATTAAATTTGAGTTCAATAAAAGCACATGTTTACGGAATGTAATTTACATACTGGAATATATCATTGTAAGGGTGTATTTAAACATAAAAAATAATTGAGGAAAATGACTGACAATGATTGTGACTTGTTAGTTTGTCACCCGCTTGGCTCGTGCCTTTGGTTTGATCACTAATGTGCCTGTAGCTCAGGTTTCTCCTGCTGAGCCTTTCATTTGCATTCAATTCCCCTGCCCTCATTCCATGCATCTGATGTTCCTCATTTTTTTTATTTCTTCCCCCTCCCCCAAGCTGCTAAATCAATATTCTTGCAAACCTATTTTTCCACTGAATTTTGCTAACGGCGCAATTTAGGAACAGCTTTTCAACTTTCTGGGCCTATTCCTGTAGTTATTAGATCATGCAGATCTCGAATACTATTTCCCTTCTTACTCCTGAATGCCTTTAGTTTAATAACCTTAGTGTCAACCAAGCTGATTGTAGCATTCTAGGGTCTGAGTCAGATGGTTGTGGGTTCAAGCTGCACGAAGGCGTTTGAGCTCACAGTGTAGGGTGATGCTCCAGTGCAATACTGGGGGCGTGCAGTATTGTTAGAGGTGCCGCCATTTGGTTGAGATGTTAAACTGAGGTTCTGTTTGCTTGTTCAGGTGGGTATTGCAGGATCCCATGGCATTGTGTGAACAGAAGAATTTCCCCTGGTGTCTGGGTAACAGATAACATTTTCCTTCATGACAGTTTGGGTACACTGCGTATAATTGCCTGCTGCTTTCGCTTAGGAATATACCGTCACTCCACTTTACAGTGAATCCTTTGAGATGTCTTGGTCACGTGATAAAATGGTATTTGATATAAGTCCCCAATTATTTTTAATCTCCCTTTTAAACATCTCAATTCTGCCTTTGGCCTGTAAGGTTCAATTAAGTTCTGTGACCATGTGGTGCAGTATGAACTGATACAAATTTACCTTTAAGCAGTAAAGTTTAATAAAATGTTAGTAGCGTTATACATATAATCAAAGTTATGCTTACGACTGTGTGGTACAATTCACAGCAACAAGTTGATTAATTCTTGTGCTATGGAAGAGATCAGAGGAACTGACTTTGTTGAGTGCGTTGATCATAGTTGTCGATAATTCAATCTTCTGTTGTCTTACTTCAGGTTTGGTTGCAGTTAGCCTCTCTATTCCCAAACTCTGCTCTTGTGCCTTCGTTGAGAATTATTCTTACATTTATACCTTTTTAAGTCATGTACACATCGACCTTGTAAAGACATCTGGATTTAGCTGTACTAAAAACATCTTTTGATCAAACCGTCTTAAACAGTCTTATCCCTGACTGATATCCGTAGTTGTCAACATCTTTCTTTATTAAAACTCATACAGCTTGTTTCAAGCAAGTCTTAAGTCCCAAGGTAATGAGCACAGATTTAACAGTTAATTTTTAACGTCCATTGTGCAGTCAAATGTAGTTGTTCCTTAAGTTGGTTCACTCAGACCCTTGTTTTCATCAACATCCTTTCACTCATTTCTC